TTTGGCGCGCCGCCCCCGGGGGCGACTTCTGGGAAAGGCTCGGGCAAGCGTGTGCTGATGTTTCAAGGAACCGCGCCCCCAAAGTAGGTCGGAAAGTAGGTTTGCAGAATTTGTTTTTGCAAAGTAGGTTCCAAAGAAGGTTTCCGGATTCCAAAAGTAGGTTTTCGGTAGCGCAAAGTAGGTTTCGGAGGCTTCAAAATAGGTTTTAGGAGCCTCAAAGTAGGTTTCGGAGGCCTCAAAGTAGGTACTTCAAACCTACTTCAAACCTACTTCAAACCTACTTCAAACCTACTTCAAACCTACTTCAAACCTACTTCGAACCTACTTCAAACCTACTTCAAACCTATTTCAAACCTACTTCAAACTGTTTTCGGAAGCATGGAAGGTCAGGGATTGAAGGTAGGAGGAGGAGGAGGTGGAGGAGAATGTGGGGGAGGAGGAGGAGGAGGAAGAGGAATGGGAGAGGAGGAGGAGGAGGAGGTGGATGAGGAGAGCCGGGAGGAGGATGTGGAGGAGGAAGAAGAGGAGGAGGAGGAGGAGAGCCAGGTCGAGGAAACGGAGGGCCAGGAGGAAGGAGGAACAGGAGAGAGGAGTAGGAGGAGGAGGACCAAGAGGACCCGGAGGATCGGGCGGAGGATGAGGGGCGGATGAAGGGGGGATGAGGGGGAAAAGGTAGGAACAAGATGGGGAATATGAGGGGGAGGAGGAGGAGGGGGGGGAGGAGGAGGAGGAGGAGGAGGAGGGGGGGGCGGGGAGGGCGGGGAGGATCGGGGGCAGGAGGATGAGAACGTGGATGCTGCGGCTGACGAGGGGGAGGATGGTGAGGCAAGGGGGGCGATGATGGGAAGCATGATGTGATTGATAACGAGTGGCTTTGGGGAGGGCAGAATGACCTTGGGCGGGGCGGCCGTGATAATGAGGAGGAGCCATGGCGTGTCCGAACCCCGCCGGGGCACGGTATTGGTACGGGGTGATTGTTGGTGGCGGCCCGGCTTGTCCGGGATTCCTTGAGTTGCGTTGTTCGCCGTGCCAGTTGCCGGGGCTGCCCCAATTGATTTTTGGGTCGCCCATCGTCGTGACTGCTTTTCTGGCGGGTCGTGTTTTCGGAGGTCTTCTCCGCAGCCGCTCTCGTTAATTTTCTATGTTTAGTGCCCGAGGGTGCATCGCGCGAAACGTGTCGCGGCCCCTGCCTGAAATGCAGCCCTGACGCCGTTTTTCATTGCAAACCTTCTTGGCGAGGTTACCGCGGCCAGGGAACGTCCCCGGGTGCACTCGCCAGGGCTAGTTTGGCGAATTCGCTTCGCCAACTTAGCTGCCCGCGGCATTTGCGCCGACGCGCTTTGGCAAACCCAGTAACGGGGGGCTATCTGCCCGATGACACGTTTTCCCCGCGCGTTGCACCTTCTTCCTGGGACCTACTATGCTTGCGAACCTATCTCCCGAACCTACTTTTGAACCTATCTAAAACCTATATCGAAATGTTTTCTGTTCGCCATTGCCCTGCATTGCTGGGGAAGTCTCGGCCTTTGTCTTTCCTCGTGATCGTCGTCGTCGTCCTTTTTGGCGTCGTGGTCGTGTCCGTCGTCGTTGTCGCCGTGGTTGTCCTTTTTCCTCCTTCGTCGTCGTCGTCGTCTGTCGTCGGCGTCTCGTCGTCGTCCCTCCTATTTCGTCGCCGTCGTCGTCGTCGTCGTTGTCGTCGTCGGCTTCCCTCCTCCCTCGTCGTTGTCGTCGTCGGCGTCGCCGTCCTTCCTCCTTCGTCGTTCGCGTTGTCGCCGTTCTCCCTCCTCCCTCGTCGTTGTCGTCGTTGTCGTCGTTGTCGCCGTCGTCGTCCTTCCTCCTCCCTCGTCGTCGTCGTCTTCGTTGGCGTCGTCGTCGTCGTCGTTTTCGTCGGCGTCGGCGTCGTTGTCGTCGCCGAAGTCATCGGAGACGTCGTCGGTGTCGTCGTAGTCGTTGTCGTCGGTGTCGTCGTAGTCGGTCTGAAGAGGTTTTGCAAACCAAGTTGCGGGTGGGTGGGTGGGATGTTTGCAAGAGCATGGGATGTGTCACATCATGGGTAGAAATCAATCGCACCACATAGATTGCACCGCACATGTTCTCTTTTTTTAAAGGAGAATATACTCTACCCCCCCTCCCCCCGGACTTATCCGTTCCCCTTTCGGGTATGTAAATCATATATGAGTCTGACCACCCGTCCATCCTAAATATGAGATCGTATCATCCCAGCCAGGCTGGGTTCCCCCCCCTCTGAGGTTCCCTTGTGAAAAACATTCTGCGGTGACATGTTTTGTTCTAACATAGCACTTTTTAACGAATCCCTTGCAAAAAATGAGACGAAGTGCGCACGCGCGCGTCGTCGCGCGCGCATGCCGAAATCCTTCAAACACTTTTGGTGCCGGAAGGGTTTCGCAATCGAGTTTCCAAAAAACATACAAAAACACAAGGTTTCGCAACACTGATTTGCTAAAAAAGCTTCCGCGCGAGCTCTTGCGAAATCTTCAGGGAACCATAGGTTTTTCAAGATTTTCACAAACTGCTACCAAACGGGCTTCGCGCGCTCGCATGTCGAAATCTGTTTAACGCCCTTGCGCGTATGCCGTCGCGGGAATCCTCTGCAAAAAAAGACGAAGTGCAGACGCGCGCGTCGTCGCGGGCGTATGCCGAAAACCTTCGAAACCCATCGGTTTCGGAAGGATTTCAAAATCGTGCGTCCAAAAAACCTACAAAAACCTAAGGTTTCGCAACACGGACTTTCAACAAAAGCGTGCGCGCGTGCGTTTTTGCGTCGTCGTCGTCGTCATCGCCGTCCTCCCTCCTCCCGCGTCGACGTCGTCGTCGCCTGCGTTGTCCTCTGTTTTTCTTCGTGGTCGTCGTCGTCGTCCTTTTTTGGCGTCGTGGTCGTTTCCGTCGTCGTTGTCGCCGTGGTCGTCCTTTTTACTCCCTCGTAGTCGTCGTCGTCTGTCGTCGGCGTCTCGTCGTCGTCCCTCCTATTTCGTCGCCGTCGTCGTCGTCGTCGTTGTCGTCGTCGTCTTCCCTCCTCCCTCGTCGTTGTCGTCGTCGGCGTCGCCGTCCTTCCTCCTTCGTCGTCGTTCGCGTTGTCGCCGTTCTCCCTCCTCCCTCGTCGTTGTCTTCGTTGTCGTCGTTGTCGCCGTCGTCGTCCTTCCTCCTCCCTCGTCGTCGCCTTCGTTGGCGTCGTTGTCTTCGTCGGCGTCGGCGTCGGCGTCGTTGTCGTCGTCGAAGTCGTCGGAGACGTCGTCGGTGTCGTCGTCGTCGGTGTCGTCGGTGTCGTCGTAGTCGGTCTTAAGACGTTTTGCAAACCAAGTTGCGGGTGGGAGGGTGGGATGTCTGCGCGAGCAGTGGAGAGGAGAGCTTCAAGTTGAGCAAGTGATTGATTCTCCTTTCTAAAAAGAAAAATAGACTCTACCCCCCCCCTGGACTTATCAGCTCCCCCTGGGATAGTACGATTTCACATATATTCTGCACACTCGCCCATCCTAAATATGAAATCATACCATCCCAGCTAGGCCGGGTTCCCCCCCCTGACGTTCCCTTGTAAAAAAACACTATGCGGTGTCATTGTTTGTTCTAACACAACACTTTTTCCACACATCCCTTGCAAAAAATGAGACGAAGTGCGCACGCGCGCGTCGTCGCGCGCGCATGCCGGAATCCTTCAAAAACCTTTGGTGCTGGAAGGATTTCGCAATCGAGTTTCCAAAAAACATACAAAAACACATGGTTTCGCAACACTGATTTGCTAAAAAAGTTTCCGCGCGAGCTCTTGCGAAATCTTCAGAAAACCATTGGTTTTTCACGATTTTCACAACATGCTACCAAACGGGCTTCGCGCGCGCGCATGTCGAAATCTGTTTAACGCCCTTGCGCGTGTGCCGTCGCGGGAATCCTCTGCAAAAAAAGACGAAATGCAGACGCGCGCGTCGTCGCGGGCGAATGCCGAAAACCTTCGAAACCCATCGGTTTCGGAAGGATTTCAAAATCGTGCGTCCAAAAAACCTGCAGAAACCCAATGTTTCGCAACACGGACTTTCAACAAAAGCGTGCGCGCGCGCGTTCTTGCGTCGTCGTCGTCGTCGTCGCCGTCCTCCCTCCTCCCGCGTCGTCGTCGTCGTCGTCGCCTACGTCGTCCTCTGTCTTAAGCGTCGTCGTCGTCCTCTTTGGCGTTGTGGTCGTTTCCGTCGTCGTTGTCGCCGTGGTCGTCCTCCCTCCTCCTCCCACGTCGTCGTCGTCGTCCGTCGTCGGCGTCTCGTCGTCGTCCCTCCTATTTCGTCGCCGTCGTCGTCGTTGTCGTCGTCGTCTTCCCTCCTCCCTCGTCGTTGTCGTCGTCGGCGTCGCCGTCCTTCCTCCTTCGTCGTCGTTCGCGTCGTCGCCGTCCTCCCTCCTCTCTCGTCGTTGTCGTCGTTGTCGTCGTTGTCGCCGTCGTCGTCCTTCCTCCTCCCTCGTCGTCGCCTTCGTTGGCGTCGTCGTCGTCGTCTTCGTCGTCGTCGGCGTCGGCGTCGTTGTCGTCGTCGAAGTCGTCGGAGACGTCGTCGGTGTCGTCCTAGTCGTTGTCGTCGGTGTCGCCGTAGTCGGTCTGAAGATGTGTTGCAAGCCAAGCTGCGGGTGGGTGGGTGGGATGTTTGCACGAGCAGTGGAGAGGACAGCTTCAAGACAGTCAAAGTGGATTGCACCACATAGATTGCACCACGCATGGTGCCCCACATATATTGCACAACATATATTGTTAGGAGCACGCTAGTTTCACAAGTGTCCGCCCATGTAGCCCTTATTCCTGGACGCGTTCCTCCTTTGCGGCTCTCTGTCAGTGAAAGGAGCGTTGGTCCGTTCGGCTGTCCACCATCCTGCGTTCACGCTCGCCGTATTCTTGCATCGCCGATGTTCGTCTCAAGGTTGATCTCGTTGATCGCATTCTCTCAGGATGAGGGTGGCTCTGACACTGGTCGTTCCCGCTCCTCTCCCGCCACCATCCCCTCAGCCGCCCGAAGGCCAGCTTCTACTCACAGCCTCGGCCGACGGCACAGCGAAGGTGTGGGACGTCATTGATTGCCGATGTCGCCAGGCGCTCGTTCGGAAGGGCCATTGCGGGAAGGAGGAGCAAGGGGAGGGGAGGAGCGAGGAGGAAGGGGGGGCAGGAGGGGAGGAGGTTGAGGAGGCTCTCCTCCCTTTTTCCCTCCTATCTCCTTTTTCTCATCGCTATCATCACCCCTAATACCCCTCCTCCCTTTTGTCCTTTCTCTCCTCTTCCCCATCTCTATCCTCACTTCTCTCCTCCTTCCCTCCCTCAGAATGACCCTCCTCCCTCACCTCCTTCTCCCATGCGTCCCCCTCATCCCGACCTGGTGAGAGGTCTGAAGATGTCATGGGCTTCCAAGTCCTGACGTCACGATGTGTTCCGCAACGTGGACCCCCAGAGGTCTGAACCCCTTCCCCAGGACAGGCCAGCATGTCATTCCCCACATCCGAAGTATGGGCCGTGTGACATTAGCATGATGTGTTCGCCTGACTCTGACAGCCCGTGTCGCCTCCTTCATTGGTATTCAGATTAATTCATGCTCAGACTCATTGATGTTCATATTCACCTATATTCAGAATCAGTCATGCTCATACTCGATTATACCCCGGATGAATCAGAATCGTTCATACTGGGACCCGTTCACACGCAGACCCAGCAGTGCTCAATCATATTCATCCCGACCACGCACACTCAGACCCAATCACCTCCTCCCGAGTGATAGCCGCCAAGGGCTATAGCACAGGCCCGTCCGCGCCCAGATTGCCGGAACCACTCACGCAGAATGCCCGTTGTGGCCAAGTAGACGAGTGTCGTTTCAGGGCCGAGTGACCGCCGCGATATAGCCAGCGTCGCATTTTGACCTCCCAAGGGAGACCCACCATGGGGCATATCACCAGCCTGTTCGCGCCTAGACGATTGAGATACTTCAGGCAGAACGCCCGCTCTGGCACAGTAGACCAATATGCGCTCAGAGCCGCATGGCCATCGCGATGTACCAGGCATGGCGTGTGCGGCTCCAAGGGTGGAGCCGCCAGGGGGCGTCACACTAGCCCGTTCGCGCCCAGAATGCGGGAACCTTTCAGGCGAAACGCCCGTGTTTTCTTCCCCGCGCAGAGGGAGGTGGGGGAAGGGAGAAGGGCTTCTTAGAAGCACCCCTGCTTCTTAGAAGGCGCGGGCCTTATCTATAGATGTAAGGCCAGCGCCTTCTAAGAAGCAGCCTCTTTCTAGGAAGCCCTCCCCCCTCCCTCCACCCCCTTTGTGCGGGCGTAGATGTTTTTCGCCCAGGTTGGTTTTCGCCCGGTTCGTTTCGACCAGGTTTGCTTTCGCCCGGTTGGCTTTCGCCCGGGTTTGCTTTCGCCCGGGTTGTTTTTTTCGCCTGGGTTGGCTTTCGCCCCGGTTGGCTTTCGCCTGGTTGGTTTTCGCCCGGGTTGGCTTTCGCCTGGGTTGGTTTTCGCCCGGTTGGCGTTCGCCCGGTTGGCTTTCGCCCGGGTTGGCTTTCGCCCGGTTGGCTGTCGCCCGGGTTGGCTGTCGCCCACTGGGTTCGTTTTCGCCCTCTTCTTCCTCTTCTCCTCTTCCCGCTCCTGTTCTTTCATGCTGTTGCTGCTGCTCCCCTCCCTCCCCTCTTCCTCTGGCTTCTCTTGCCCGCGGCCGGTTGGCTGGAGCCCGACCCAACCCGCCCGTTAGGGTCCGCCCGACCCGCCCGCCCGTTAGGGTCCACCCGCCCGATCGGACCCGCACGCTAGGGTTCGCACTCGAGCGCGCCCCCACACTTTGGTGTCCAGCCCACCTGACCCGACCCGCCCGTTAGGGTCCGCCCGACCCGACCCGACCCGTCCCGCCTGTTAGGGTCCGCCCGACCCGACCCGACCCGCCCGTTGAAGTTCGCGCGAGCTCGTTCCGGCGCGCCCAACACAGTGTCCCGCCCGCCCGACCCGACCCGCCCGTTAGGATCCGCCCGGCCCGGCCCGACCCGCCCCGCCCGTCAGCTGAGGTCCGCCCGCCCGACCCGACCCGCCCGTTAGAGTCAGCCCGGCCCGACCCGACCCGACCCGCCCGTTAGGGTCCGCCCGCCCGAACCGACCCGCCCGTTAGGGTCCGCCCGAACCCGACCCCGTCAGCGTTAGGGTCCACCCGGCCCGACCTGACCCCCGCCCGTTAGGGTCCCGCCCGACCCGACCCGACCCGTCCCGCCCGTCAAGGCCCGCCCGCCCGACCCGACCCGCCCGTTAGGGTTCACGCGTGCTCACTCGATCGCGCCCCACACTTTAGTGTCCCGCCCGTCCGACCCGACCCTTCCGTTACAGTCCGCCCGACCCGACCCGACCCGCCGCCCGTCAGCGTTAGGGTCCGCCCGGCCCGACACGACCCGACCCGCCCGTTAGGGTCCGCCCGACCCGACCCGACCCGTCCCGCCCGTCAGGGTCCGCCCGCCCGACCCGACACGCCGTGTGCTCTCTCGAGCGTACCTCCACATTTTAGTGTCCCGCCTGCCAGACCCGACCCGCCCGTTAGGGTTTGCTCGACTCGACCCGATCCGCCCCGCCTGCTAGGGTCCGCCCGACCCGACCCGACCCGCCCGTTATCAGACTCGAGCGTAGTGTCCCGCCCGCCCCCCCCGCCCCGCCCGACCCGACCCGCCCGCCCGTCAGGGTCCGCCGACCCGACCTGACCCGCCCGTGAGGGTTCACGCGTGCTCACTCGAGCGCGCCTCCACACTTTAGTGTCCCGCCTGCCCGACCCGACCCGCTAGGGTTTGCTCGACCCGACCCGATCCGCCCCGCCCGTTAGGATCCGCCCGACCCGACCTGACCCGCCCGTTAGGGTTCACGCGTGCTCACTCGAGCGCGCCCCACAGTTTAGTGTCCCGCCCGCCCGACCCGACCCGCCCGTTAGGGTCCGCCCGTCCCGACCCGACCCTCCCCGCCCGTCAGGGTCCGCTCGCCCGACCAGACCCGCGTGTTAGGGTCCGCCCGGCCCGACCCGACCCGTCCCGCCCATTAGGGTCCGCCCGACCCTACCCTCCCTTTCGGGTCCGCCTGGCGGGTTTCTCGGCTCGGCGCTGCCCGCTGCCCGTCCGTGCGCTGCCCGCTGCCCGCCCTGCAACAAGGGTCTCGAGCCTCTTCCTTCCTTGCCGCGCCCCCGCCCCCTACTCCTGCACGGCGACTTCCGGCCCTGACCTCCGACCCCCAGATTTGTTTACGCCGTCGGCTCCCTGGGGCCCGCAGTCGTTCCCAAGGACATGCTTTCATCCTGGCGCGTCCTAGGTAAGGACGTCATGGCCTCCCTGCGGCCGACCCCGGCCCAAAAAACTTACCATTTTGTTTTTTTCCCGGGCGTCGGAAGTCTCGGGCCAACGCCCCCACCAGCTGCGACCGCCACCACGACCGCCAGCCGCTTCTGGAAGCGGCCCGACACAAGAAATTGCTAAGAGGGGACAGGAGACATCGATACCCCATTACCGTTAATCGCCTGCCCCTCAGCCTGCCCCGCCTGCTCCCCGTCCGGCCCCGGCGAAAGCCAACCCCAGCGAAAGCCAACCCCGGCGAAAGCCAACCCCGGCGAAAGCCAACAACCCTGGCGAAAGCCGACCCCGGCGAACGCCAACCCCGGCGAAAGCCAACCCGGTGAAAGCCAACCCGGCGAAAGCCAACCCCGGCGAAGCCAACCCCGGCGAAAGGCAACCCCAACGAAAGCCAACCCCGGCGAAACGAACCCCGGCGAAAGCCAACCCGGCGAAGCGAAGCCCGGCGAAAGCCAACCCCGGCGAAAGCCATCCGTGCATTTGTGCGCACCGCCAAGTGTTGCCCCAGTGGGCGGGTTTCTTTTCTCAGAGCCCCACGATCACCGCGATGCAGCAGGCACGACGTGCCCAAGGGGGAGCGGCCAAGGGTCATTGTCCAGGCCCGCTCGCGCCTAGAGCGGGGGCCCATGCCAAGAAATGCCCTGCTTGCCTCCAGGGTGCCCTGGGTCTCTTGGGTTTCGATGGTTCTGCTGTGGAAGGCGTGGCGTTTCCACATCAGAACTCAATGGACGTGCTGGGGTCTCAGGGTTGGGTTTCTTGTGGTCGGGCCCCTGCTGTAGATTGTCGGGCCTCTCAGGCGAAACGCCCGACGTGTCTTGGTAATTAGGCGCATCTCTTTTCGGAGCCCAATGGAGCACCGCGATGGGCCACCGAGGGAGGAGTTTTGCGGGCCCGCTCGCACCTGCATGCTCGGGGCCTCCCTCCCAAGGAGGAGCGGCCAGGGGGTGTGACACTTCAGTCGAGCATGTCTCTCCACAGGAGGAATATTCAAAATTAGTTGTTTAAAATAGTCTGGGGACGATGTTTGAGCATGTTTTGACTATGTTTCATTTGTCGTCCAAATTCCGCCTGTAGGAGGACACGCTCGGCCTAATATGAAACAAACCCAGTCACGCCCAGGTTGCCAGCACATCTCAGGCGGAACGCCCAGTTTGACCCAGCACACGAACTTTTTTTCTCAGAGCCCCATGGTCGCCGCGATCGCACGCAGAGGGGCGGGGGGGAGGGAAACTCTCGGGCGAAACGCCCGGTTTGGCCCGGTAGACGCGTCTTTTCTCAGAGCCCCATGATCGCAGCGATGTAGCAGGCATGGTATTTGGTCATCCCAAGGGCGAGTCGCGGAGGGTTTTACACGGGCCCGTTCGCCCCCAGATTCTCGGAACCTCTCAGGGGAAGCGCCGAGTGTCGTTTGGCGGCCGAGGCTCTCTGCTCGGGGCCCCGTGGTCGTCGCGATGCAGCGGGTCGTGCTTCCGGGCCTCTCAAGAGGGGCCGCCAGGAGACAGATGATCCCATGTCAAGGGCCTGCGCCCCCCCCCTACTACCATAATTGGATGGGATGGGTCCCAGGGTTCCACGCCCCCCTCAGATGGGATGGGGGGGACGGGGCGACGACGACGACGACGACGACGACGACGACGACGACGACGACGACGACGACCTGACATCTGCACCACAACGTCACACCACACCCGCGGGGGGTTGGGGGGCCATCGGTGTGTTCGAGGGAGGGCGAACCCATGAGCATTAGGGGGGGGATGGGCCCTGCATCACACATCACTGGTCCGTTCGCAAAAGGGGTCGCCGGGGCCTCTTAGGCAGAACGTTGCTTAGGGGAGTGTACTTGTTTCGCTTCAGGGCTGCACGGCCATCGCAGTGCAGCAGACCTGGCACGTGTGGCTCCCACGGGGGTAATACGCCCCAGCGCCCCAGGGGGTCCCGAGCTCCAGGGCGTTCTGGGAAACCCCAGAACCCCCTCGCTCGTGCCCAGACTTGTTCGCACCCCGATCCATTTCACACTCAAGCCCGCTTATTCTCAGACTCGCCCATATGCAGTCACACATACTTCGACCCACTCGCACTCTGACCCGCCCACACCCAGGCATTCGTGCGCAGACACACTCACAGTCATGCCAGTTATGAGCCAGACCCGCGTGTTGAGACCTTCTATCTCAGCCGCTCATATCCAGATCCGTTCACAATCGGACTCATTCACATCCATAACAAACCACTCCGGCCACTCATACTCAGACCCGCCCGAGCGCTCACCCACTCGTACCGAGCCTCTTCGAGTCAGGCTCTGTGCCGCCCAGACTCACTCACCATACCCATGCACTCGCATTCAGACTCAATCACATTCAAGCTCACTTACGTTCGGACACTCAGAAAGAAAAGGCAGTATAACATGTGTTCACATTTTACATGCGGTGATCTCCGCACCGACTACTCTTGAATCGGAGTTTGATTGTCCTGGGGCCTGGTAAGGGCCCCGAGAAGCCGATGACTGCGGAAACAGCGTCCGTTGTGATGTTTGGTTTGCGCGTTTGGGACGGGTCGCCCCCCTCCAGGGCTCATGTCGACCCCTCCCACTCGATTTGATTCGATGTCGGTCGATTCCGATGCCAACTCGATTCGACGTCGGATTCCGACTTGGATCTCGGTTTCTCCATGCAGGGCCTATTGGTCTGCCCGAACCCGCCGATTCGACTCCCCCCGACTCGGCTGCCGATCTCCGCCGTCCCGACTCACGTCGATTGCCGATCGCGCCGCCCCCGCACTGCGCCCGTCGCGCTCCCACTCCGAGCCCGCGCCCGACGGGCCCCTCCTGGCCCCACGCGCTCCCGCCCGGTCACCCAACGCTCCCGCACGCCTGCCCCTCCCCAAGACGAGAGTACCCCTCGGCTTGGCTGCCGATTTCTGCCGACCCAGTTCACTCCGATCGCCGATCCGACTGACCGACTCTGTTCTCCATTCCGGTTCTCGTGACCGGCCAGGAGGTTGGCTCTGGCGGCTGCGATTTTCAACAAGCTAGCCATCACTAGAATAATCTCATCGACCTCGGCACTGAAGTGAGCATTGAATCCTTGACTGTTCCCAGCAGCCGCTTGCCTCCGGAACGCCTCGACTCGATCCTGGGCTCTCCGCGTCGTCGTGGGGGGTGCCGTGAGATCGTCGTCGTCGTCACCGATCGATCGTTCGAGGATCACGGCCCGAGGATCGAGGCCTTCGTGAGCCCTTGGGCCGGCCCCGGGCCCTGCGCGCGCCCCCCGTGGCCCCAGACCCTCGAAGCCGGCGGCCGCACGCGGTGGGCCTCCGTGTCGGGCTGAGAGCGGCGCCGGACCCGGCCGCGCCCAACGTGGCGGGCGGCCAAAAAAGGGCCGTCGCCCCCTCCCCCCTCCCAGGGCTCCTCCCCCATCCGTTCCTCCTCTCCCCCAGCCTCCCCCCCTTCCGTCCCCCACCTCCTCACCCCCTTCTTCTGTTCACCCGTTCACCCCATCCCCCCCACTTCCCCCTTCACGCTCCCCACCCGTCTCCTTTCCCCTTCTTTTGGTTCCTCCCCCTCCTTCTTTTGGTTACTCCCCCTCCCCTCTCCCCCATCACCCACTCCCCTCCCTCCCCTCCTTCCTCTCCTCACTCCTCAGCATCAGCTTGCTGAATATGAATATGAAAACTACTCCCTCTCTCTAACCCTCCTCTCTCCCATGGAGATGACTGGGCAGTCACCCGACCCCATCCGCGAGTTGAGTTCTTCACACAGGAATTCATGTGTCTGTCGTTCCTACGCGTGTTTGTTCCCAATCGGAATGTCTTCGGCGTCTCAAACGATGCTGCCGCTGCAGCGTTGGCCTCGTTGTAGGATTGGCGCTGTGTCGTTCAGAATGTCGCTCTCGCCTCCAGTGCGGGCCACATTTCTGGATCCGAGCCCTTGCTCATCGTTGTCGCCCCCCTCCTGTCTCCTCCTCCGTTTTCTCCTGGTCCTCCTGCTCCTCCCGCTCTTTCCACTCCAGTTCCCGCTGCGGTTGTTCGTCCGCGTCCTATTCCTCCCTCCTCATCCTCCTTTTCCTCCTGCTCAACATCCTGCTCATCCTCCACCTCCTCCTCCCCCTCGTTCAATGTACGCAGCTCCCCTTTTCCGATTGCGCATAACACGATGGGTTTGTCGAGGAGTTCCAGGTCCGCTGATCATGACACGCGTCCGCGGATTGATGAAACAGCAGCGCAATGGGAAGGGATGGGTGCGATGGGTCGGATGTCAGATGTGGCGCGAGCGCACCTAGGTTGACATGAATACTGTGAGTCGGGCCTGTCCCTCTACAGGAGGAATGTTCGAAAATAGTCAAACATTAGTATTAGTAAAACATTTTCAAGAATGTTTTGACTATGGTTTACATGTTCTCCGAAATCTGCCTGTAGGGGGACATGCCCGACCTAAGAATACTGCTCTCTTCTCTCCCCTGAGGATGGCCAGGGAGTCGCCCGCCCGCCGCCGCGGAGTGTCTCTACAGGATGCCATGATATTTGGCATGTCCTATTGCTGGTGTGTCCGCTCGGGAGGGGTCCGGCTCCTCGAGGTGATGTTGCCGCCGTAGCGTTGGCTTCATTTGATGGTGGTGATGACGATGTTGATGTTGATGGTGGTGATGGTGATGGTGATGATAAAGATGATGATAAAGATGGTGATGATGGTGATGGTGATGGTGATGGTGATGGTGATGGTGATGGTAGATACGATGATGATGATGATGGTGGTGGTGGTTATGGTAAAGATGATGATGATGATGATGATGATGATGATGATGATGATGATGATGATGATGATGATGATGATGATGATGATGATGATGATGATGATGATCGTGATGATGATGCTGATGATGAAGATGTTGATGATGATGGTGGTGGTGGTGGTGATGGTAAAGAGGATGATGATGGTGATGGTGATGGTGATGGTAAACATGATGATGATGCTGATGATGCTGATGGTGATGGTGATGGTAAAGAGGATGATGCTGATGATGGTGATGATACTGGTGATGGATGCACTTCTCTTGCTGAAGCGGTGATGCTTCGTGACACGGGTATGCGTTGCCCCCCCTTGGACTCTGCCAACCCTGGAGTGGCCTCGCGGGCTGAGCGCTCTGGGCAAAGATGCTAACGGAAGTGCAAGTATACATGCATGAGAAAAAGACACGAAAGTGTCGCAACACCCCCTGGTCCCTTGCCACGCAGGCTAATTCCGAAAAGTCGTCGTAACAATTCTGGTCTGTTGCTACGCAGAGAATGTTAAAGAGAATATGCCGCCGTCCTACCCCAACCAACCTCCTATGATCGGACAAACATATTTCGGATGTTTGCCGTAATCGGCATTGAAAGACCGAAGTGTTGTCACAAGGTGGACGTCTTCCAGTCGGCACGAGAGCCGGATGTTGAAGTTGACGTTGGTTTCCCACTGCTTGCTCAGGAGATGCAACTCGCGATTCAATCGCGGGTCTGCCCAATGGTGGAAAAATGAAAGCACAAGGAAGACGACTCCCCTGGAACCCATCCTCACTAGGCACACGAAGGTGTTGGAAAGGCCGTCGATGTAAAGCATTACGTATGGCATCGATGATTTGAGACGAAATTTCGTGTCGCCAAAGTTTGTTGGTAAAAATATGTGACTGTTGTCTGGCGAGGAGGGGGGAGCTGCATAGCCTGCCGGACCGCAACACCATAGCCCATAGCCACAGGCCACGCGCGTTGCACCGAGGGAGGGTGGCGAGGTAGCCCTGAAAAAGGGGAACCCATTGGCTCGTCACCTTCTCGTGCACACCGTGGCGCTCTGCTCCCGTCGTTCAGAATGGCGCTCCCGTTCCAGCGAGGGCCACTGTTCTGTATCCGAGCCCTTCCTCATCGTTGTCGCTCACATCCTTTCCCCTCCTCCCCGCGCTCCTGCTCCTCCCGCTCCTTCTACTCCAGCTCCTGTTGTTGCTGTTCGTCCGGCCTCCTCCTTCCCCCTCCTCCTCATCCGCCACCTCCTCCTCCAGTGCGCGCAGCTACCATTTTCCGACTGCGCATCACATGATTGGGTCCTTCTCCAGGCCAGCTATGACACGCGTCCGCGGATAGAGAACACATCAGCGCAATGGAAATGGATGGGTGGAAGAGGTAGGATGTCAGATTTGGCGCGAGCGCACCTAGCGTGTCCGCTCCCCCCCTCCGAGAACGTGCAACACAGCCGCGTGTTATGCGAATAATTTCCCGCAGGTCCGCCTCTTATTCTCCATCCCCCATCCCGTTCCTCGTCCTCCTTCCCATCATGCTTGTTTCTCTTATCGCCAGTGCATTCCACTTCTGGCTCCGGCCAAGTTATACAACCCTGTGCTGTCTTGCTGCACGAGCCAAGGGTCCACGTGTGGGTTTGCCTATTGCAGATTGGTCACAGGCTTGCTTCGTACATCTCGTAGGCACCATCTTTCACAGGGAACTACGATGCAGGTGGAGAATTACATATATATATATATACATATATACATATCTACACATTGTATATATGTATAGAGAGAGAGATCTGCACGTATGTACATGTTCCTCTTCCTATATGTTTATAAGCCCGGGCGGGGGGAAAACCCATCCCGCCCCCCCCCCCAAAAAAAACGGACTCCCGGGATCTGGGGCTTTGGGACCCTCCAGACGGGCCTCGAAGCGGCCCCCGGGCCTCACATGGCGCTTTGCCAAGCCTTCCCAGAACACCTAGGGCGATCAGGGGGGTCATCGGAGACGTCCCAGAGACCCCCAAGACAGCACAAGAGCGCTCCAAGAGTGACCGACGTGACCTCAAGATGGCCCAAGAGGCCTCCAGGACGGCCCCAAAGAGGCCTCCAAGAGCACTCCCAAGAAGGCCCCCCGAGGCGATTTTCTGTTGTTGTTTTTTTGTGAATTTTAGGGTTCTCCTCTTTTCGGCTTCCCGACGCTCCAAGACGGCGGTCTTCTGGGCGTCCGAAGCCGCCTGGGAGGCTCCACAATCGCCCCACAACCATCCGAAAGGGTTTCCAGGCAGTCCAAGAGAGCCCCAAAACGGCACAACACGGGTCCAAGATGGCCCTCAGAGAGCCCCATGGCGGCCCAAGATGGCCCAAAGACACCCTCCGAAGAATTCCAAATCGTGATTCGGTCGTTCAGGGAGACCGCGGTTGGAGGCAGGGTGGCCCGAGGAAGCCCCCGGAGGCCCCCAGAATACGCCCAGGAGGTCTCCAGAAGGCCTTAAGAAAGCTTGAAACAACTTTCGTGAGGCCCCTAGAGGCTCTCCAAGGAGGAGCCTCCGCAAAAAAGAGCTGAGGAGGATGGGGAGAATGCGCAGGGTATGGCGAAAATAAGGAAAAAGACACATGGAGGAAGGATAACGAATAACATTATGATAGCGGCGATGCCAGAAAAGGCAACCAGGAGTTATCGCTAAATTGTCGGCTTGACCTGCCTGCTTTTCCGCCTGCATACCAATCTTCAAGGACCAAAGTGCATGGCGCGAAGCGCCACTGCAGTCTTGTATATATATATATATATACACGTGGTGCAGGCTACGATGCGCAGGCCGTGTGGAGAATTTTATGGGGCACAAGATGTGTGGCGAAAGCCACGCGGTGCAAGTTGCGTGATGCAAGCAGTGTGGTTCAAGTCACATGTTGCGATGTACAGCGGGGGCCCATGCCAAGAAACACCCTGCTTGCCTCCAGGGTGCCCTGGGTTTCTTTGGTTTCGATGATTTTGCTGTGGAAAGCGTGACGTTCCCACACCCGAAATCCATGGACGTCCTTGGGTCTCAGGGTTGGGTTTCTTTCGAAAGGTTTCTTGTGGACCAGCCTCCACCGTGTCGCTGTTACAAAAAGAGGGGCCGAGAGAGTTGGAGGGTTCCTCCGAAGGGCTTAGGCAACCCGTCCTCCTCCTCTCTCCTCCCCCTCCTCCTCCTCCCTCTCCTCCTCCTCTCCTTCTCCTTCTCCTCCTCCTCCTCCTCCTCCTCCTCCTCCTCCTCCTCCTCCTCCTCCTCCTCCTCCTCCCCCTCCTCCTGTATGTGGTGTAAGGCCGTGTTGTGCAAGCGGCGTGACGTGTGCGATGCGGTGCAGACTGCGGCGCAAAGCCCGGCGCAAAGCCTGGCGCCCACCCCCCAGGGCGCGAGGCGGCCACGGCCGGGCACCGGGCGAGTGCCTTGCCCACCCATGGAGGATCCTCAAGTTCAGGAGGGCAAAAAACACACAGACACAATGAATCGCCAATCCCCCGGAAAATATGGGAAGTGGGGGGGAAGAGGAAATCCCAGAAAATATATGTTAAAAAAGGGAATCCTGGGATT